CTCTCAAACTCTCACAATAGACATCATTTTACAAAAAAATTGTAAAAAAAAAAAATTTAATTTTCTTTTATTACCTTATTTGATCTTGAATGTTGATTGAAAACTTAAAGCTGATTTGAATTTGGATGTCGAAATACCGATTAAATGGTTGAAACTTGAAATAATTTGTTTGTTTTCTAGCTCGTTTTTAGATTAATTTTGATGCTAAAGATCTGAGATTCTGAATTTTATTTTTTTGCTTTTGCTTTTATTTTTACTTTTGCAAGCTTATTGCTTTATTCTATAGAGTTGAAAATTTATTTTTTTTCTTGAACTATTAGATTCGTGAGCCGCTATTCTCCGTTACGTCGTTATTTTACGATCGTTACACTTCATTTTTGCTGTAAATAAATTTTTCAACTGTATTTCATCCAATAACGGTGGCAAGTGTGACACGACCATAATTTTACGATCGTTTTTCCGCTATTAAGCTGCTATTTGAATCCTTGGATGGATGATACTTTCTTTTTTCCCTTTTAATTTAATTTTTCCCTGATGCAAGGCGATCTTTAGGACAAGTGCATGTAAGGAAACACATATATCCATGGCTCTGTGGGAATTTACGTAGAAAAGCATCAGAATATCAATAAAAGTTTATAAAGCGTCTTTAATCAATATCTTCCAGAATTAGTAGCATTTGTTTTTAAGTTATCTAATAAGTAGCACTGTCCTTCAATCCTCTTACTTTTTTACTTCTTTGTGCCTTTTAGGCCTGGCCAGTGAATCTATCAGGAAGAAGTATGATCAAAAGTGTGCAATGGATCTTAGCACTCTCGAATTCGAGGGTGGCACTTCATTCTATTAATACTATATCAAAGCGAATTGAAAAAAAGAGAGAAAAATAAAGAGATATATATATTAAGAGTAGAAGCTACAACTTGTAGATTTCATTCAGGTGTGACCAAGTCTTTTAAATCAAAAATTTTTTAATGACTAAAACTTTACTCTTACATATATCTTAGACTAAACTTTTGAGTAATTTTAAGCATTCTCAATCATTGAAATCCTTATCTAATGGAGCAAACCAATAAATAGAACTGCATAAGAAAGGGAAATCAGTTTATGCAAAAATTAAAAAGCTTAGAATGTGGTATATCCCATATTGAATAGAAAGATATTTGTATATAGTTTAAAATAAACTATTTATGTTAATTAAGTAATTGATCATAAGTGTTGGAATGAGCCAAGTCTTATGACTTGCTAGAAATCAGTTGATACAAATATTGATAGTTTAAAATGTGGTGTATCTCACATTAGATAGAAGATCATTTGTATATAGTTTAAAATAAATTATTTGTGTTAATTAAGTAATTGATTTAAGTATTAGAGTGAGCCAAATCTTATGACTTACTAGAAATTTTCCTAATGGGTCAAAAAATTTTAGAAGTTGGACACTTGAACTTGTTTAGTAAAAGATTTATTTTTAATTTTTTACTTATTAAATTTTTGAAATAAAATAAGTTAATATTAATTTTGTTTTGAATGAGCTTGTTTGAATAAAAAAATGTAAGTATACAGATTGACATAATTTATTAATAAAAAATTTATGACTGTTCGCATGCAAATTGTCATAATTTTTTAATAAAAAATTATAACTGTTCATTTATTATAAGTAGTTCTTTTTATATGATCAATTTCATTAATTTTGAGTTGGAGAGTTTTAAAATTTTATTTTATCCTATATCATAATTGCCTTTAAAATAGTATTTTTCAAGCCTCAAAGCTATGTTTTTTTTTCTTATTATTTTTATTTTCTCAAAATTTTCTAACTACAAACAATGGAGAATCAGAAAGTAAATATGATTTTTGTGCTAAGTTCGGACTGGAGGAAAAAGCTCGAAGATAAGCTCAAAGATAATAATGAGAGAATTGAGAAAAATAACTCAAAGAAAAGTATGAAAGAGTTGGAAAAAGAATTAGCCCGCTTTTGTGCTAAGTTTGAAATGGAGGAAAGGGTTTGGAGATAAGCTCAGAGATAAAAATGAAAAAGTTTAGAAGAAAAGCTTAAAGGAAAGTATGTAAGAGTTGGAAGAAGAATTGGCTTTTTTTTTTACTTAAGAGTGTGGGTATTTATATAAGTTAGCTCAGACTAAATGACTAAAATATTCTTAGTCCAATTATGAGCTATTCTTCTAGAATAAAAAGATAATTATACCATTATGACTCAAAAATGCCTTTAACATTATATCCCCCAAAAAATAGTTTGAAGATTCAAATAAAAATTGACCCAAGATGTCCGGCTTACTTTGGGTTTAGTCGATTTGTTAAAATTTAAAGATACATTCGAGTTTAGACTTTGAATGTCAATTTTGTTGTCCAACATTTTAGTGACATGAGTGGTTTGAGGTACCGATGTGATAGAATATCATTTTATGATTCATCCGACATAGATGGCTATTGGAATCTCAATAGTTGTTTGACTTTGTTTGTTAACTATTTAATTTTGGCCGGGGTTACTAGACAATTGATCTAGAGATATTTAGGTTGTCTAAGTTAGTTAACGAATAATTAACGTGATACTTGATAGATTTTATAATGAGATTCTAAATTCATTTGTGTTGAGAGAATTATACTAAGGTGAATTTGTATCGAGGTGATTTACACCGAAATGAATATGTGCTAAGGTGATTTTTATCAAGGTGAATTTATGCCAAAATGATTTTTATCGAGGTGAATTTGGGGAATTTGAACTCTTGCAATGGTAATTTTACTAAGCGGAGCTTTATTGAAAGAAAATTTTAAAAAAAATTTATCAAGGTAAGTTTTTTTAAAAGTAACTTTTGTTATAGTGAACTTTTTTAACGAACTAAGCAATTAAGTTATGCTAAAAGTTTTTAGTCGACTTAAGCTCTTTGGTTGAGCTAATCTTTTACTAAAAAAATGTGACAAAATTGCTACTATAAATTTGGTTAGGCCGAGGTCATTTCTTTTATCCAAGTTAATCTCTTTTGGTTAAGTTAAATATTTTTGGCCAAACTAGCTAAGCTAATAATTTATTAATGAAATTTGGTTAAGCTAAGCTATTTTAGCTAAACTAACTTTTTATGAAGAAAATTTGGTGACATTAATACTTTATCTAAGAAATTTAGTTGAATTGAACTTTTTAAACTATCCTAAGCTTTTTTGGTCGAGTTAATCTCTTTTGACCAAGTTAATCATGAAGGTTTTTTATCAAGTTGATTATTTATTAAGAAAATTTGATTATGCTGAGCTCTTTTAGTCGAGTTGAGCTTTTTTGGTCTAACTTATTACTTTGGTCGATGTGGCCCAACTAAGCCTTTATGAAGGCAATTTATTAAGAAGAGTTTTTTAACCGAGGTAGTCAAGCTAAGCCTTTGTGAAGGCAATTCACCTAGATGAGCTTGTTGATCAAGGGACAGATGAATTCTTTGGCTGAGGTGACTGAGCTAAACTTTTGTGAAGGCAATTTATCAAAATGAGCTCTTTGATCGAAAGACCGATGTGAGCTCTTTTAATCGAATTAATTACTTTGATCGAGGTAGCCCAATTAAGCCTTTATGAAGGTAATTTATCGAGATGAATTCTTTAGGTGACGTGGTTGAGTTAAGCTTTTATGAATGCATTTTATAAATCCAAACTTTTTTGGCTGAGCTGAGTCCAAGCTTTTTAGCCTAACTATTTTATCAATTGACTTTTATGAAAGTATTTTGTAGATTTGAATATTTTTGGCCAAGCTGAGTTTGAGCTCTTAGGTTAAGCTATTTTGTCAAATTAAAGTTTTATGAAAGCATTTCATCGATTTGAGCTTTTTTGATTGAGCTAAGTCTGAGCTCTTATTCCAAGCTATTTTGTCAAATTAGGCCTTTATGCAGGCATTTTATAGATTTGAGCTCTTTTGACTGTGCTGAGTCTGAGCTCTTTGGCTGAGCTATTTTGTTGAATTAGGTTTTTATGAAAGTATTTTGTAGATTCGAGTTCTTTTGATCGAGCTGAGTCCGAACTCTTAGGCCAAACTGTTTTGTCAAGATGAGGCCTTTTTTTAAGTTGATATGCATATTTGAGCTCTCTGATCGTGTTGGGTTTGAGCTCTTTGGCCTAACTGGGCTTGACCTCTTTGGCTGAGTTGGGTTCAAGCTCTTTTACTTTTTTGTGGTGTCATTCTGAGCTTAGCTGAGAAAGACTCTTACCTATTATGTCATTTGTTTGTGCTAAATGAGAAAAACTCTTACCTAGCGCGTCATTTGTTTGTGTTAAGTTCGGACTCGAAAGAAAACCTCAGAGTTAAGTTCAAGGATAAGAATGAGAGAGTTGAAGAAAAAGGCTCAAAGAAAACTATAAAAGAGTTAGAAGAAGAATTGGCCTCCTTTTTACTTAGAAGAAGTGAGGGTATTTATATAAATTAGCTTAAAGTAAATGATCAAAATATCTTTGATCTAATTGTGAGCTATTCTCATAGAATAAAAAACAATTATACCCTTATGACCCAAAAATGGCCCCGGTGATACAAATGATGATGTATTCAAACTTGTGCTCCATACAAACAAGTTTGACTCGGGTTCTTGATAGATTAAACAAAATTTCTAAGGCCTCTCGAAGATGTACGAGGATGTTAGATAAAAAAGTGAAGCAGCTCGAGTGGCATACCTCAACTTGCAGGGCAGATAGATCTTGTAAGGCTATATAATCATCAAATATAAGCATTTTAAGGTCTAGTTTGGAAATATGCAGTATCCAATCATCTGCCTTGTGATCTGTCTCACAATGTTGATTTCAAGGGAGTTGATATTAGTTTTTCCTCAGTTTCTTTCACCGGCTGCTTGCTTTTGGACAGTTCAAAATTGGTGGGTGTTTGAACCATGAATATATCTATGGCTATATGATGAAGATACTTCAAAAAACATCATCCCACCATGGCTTGATGTATTTCATCATGTCACCATTGCTTGTTACTTACAATCAGTGAGTCGATTTTGTTCATGTTCCCTGTTAGTTAATTGTATCACCAAAAAAATAACATGCTATTCTTCTATTGGCAAGAAAATGTACATAGTTCATTGTTACAGTTTAAACAACATTATTTTCAACCTTCAACAGATTATTCTTTCCAAACACAGGCTATCGACCTGGGTTTCAACAACCGTATTGACCTGAACCCAGTATTTAATCTGGTAAAAGAATTAAAAAATTCTATCTATCGTGAAATTCACATGCTTGTTCCATCTTATGGTATTCACAATTACACAAGTAACATTGCAGTTTTGCTTTCGCTAGTCATTAGAACCCAACAAGCTGTGTGTACTGAGCATATGCTTCTGACTTCATTGCAAGCGGGGCCCGCGTAACATATGGCGGGAGATCAAATGCATCTACAAGTTCCCCTGCAATGTTTCTCACTTGGAAACTCAGGTATTCTGTGAGCTTGTGGATTGCCTTCATAAAGGAAAGAGTTATGTTAATGAAACAAGCTCATAAAAATTTTATCTCTAGCAAATGGAATAACTTGAAAATACACAAATACTACGGCATATGTTCCATAACTATCATGCATGAGATGTTTATAGTCATCCCTGTTCTACAGGGATGGGCACAGTATAAAAGGGAGTACCCAAAAAAAGGGAAAACACCTCTTTCTATATCTTCTAAATAGTTTTCATTAAAACTATACCTTAGCTTTGTTAGGAGCAACATAATCAACATTACGGTAAGTTCCTATGTCATTCCAGATCCGATCAAGGGCATAAAGATCACAAACAAGTTTTAGAGCAGCTCGACTACTTGCATCAGGACAGCTGGAAGTTAAATTCAAGCCCAATTAGAAACTCAATAAATATGGCAAGTGGAAAAGAAAAGGAATAAATTCAGTAGCTGAGTTTTGGAAGTACTTCTGCACAGCTTCAATAAACTTTGCAAGGATAACAGACTCGATAAAAGACTCTGCAAGTGTGAGAAGGTGATTCAGGCACCTATTCCAAGCACCAAAGCTGCCATGAGTTTTAGAATGCTTTCGAAGCCGCGCCACTGCACTTTGAAGCAGTCTTGAGGTTCGGTACTAAATACCAAAATTGCATAAATCTTGTGTTACAATTTACATTGACAAAGCTCTAAAGTACAAAACCAAGATAACACTCACCCTGAAGGCATCCAACTGGAATTTAGGGTCTCGCAAGTGGTCTGCGCTCTCCCAACGTGCAGTTACAGGATTTGGCTGAGACAAGTACGTGTTCATAGATTCTCTCAAGTAGTTCCATGTGACAGAAAGAGGACCACCTTGGAACTTGTCCTTGTATTGCTTCAATAGATCGCCAGCTACCTATATCCCGGTAAAAAATCTCATGTAGCTTGTATTGAAAAGCAAATTAGAGGTTTACCAACACTAATACCAGACTACAATACATATTAACTGCCAATGAAGGAAAACCATCTAAAGGCCCTTGCTGACCAAACTGATTACTGACTAGAAGATTGTTATTACCTGTAAAAAACAGTTCTTGACAAACTAAATAACCCCCAAAAAAACTTAAGAATAACAAAGTTATCAACTTTCCCATTGCTTTGAATAAACATCCAACTGACAACAATATCCAATCAGACCCACAAAGAGTACATGTAAATTGATTAGCATCAAGGTTTGATAACTTATTTTAAAGAATGTAGCAGTGCATCATAGCAACAAAAGAGCTTATATATCCCTATAAGACATGAAGAGGCATCACTACAAAAAATAAGTGGTAACTCTATTTGAACATTCTTGATGAATTGATGTAGAAGGCAAAAGAGATGTTTGCATATCTAAATCTAGCCTCAGCTGAAATGGAGACATGGTCACATTTTTAGGTACTGCACTATTTCCAGATATATCTTCAGACTACCTGAACAAGGTCAGCAATCTGATTTTTTGTAATTGCTCTATGTAGTTGACAACTGACAACAATTTGAACAAGTGGCCAGCTAGGCAGGCTGCCTGAACACTTAGAGTAAAGATGACAATAAACACCAAAGATATCTAAAAGGGTCTCTCCTGCTCCTTTCATGTAGTGTATAGAAGAATAATATCTTATCAGAATACTAATTCTTTATACCGAAACAAACATTGTAAATTCTCAAGCAAGGTTGTGAAGTAAGGGGATTTGTCTAAAACCTGTTGCAGAAGTACTGTGTTGTCTCCTTCAAATGTCTGGAAAATGTCATGATCATTCCTCAAGCTACCTAACCGGTTGACAGCAGCATACCCATGGCCTCCACAGGCTTCCCTGCAGGTACTCAATGACTTTGCAGTATATGATGTCACATAGGACTTCAGACCCGCAGAAAGTGCATGGACATCTCCAACCAGTTGTTCATTATGTGTCTTCTTTATCTCTGAATATTTGTCCACCAAATCCCGAGTGGCGAAATGAAATGCATAAGTTGAAGCCAGCATTGGCATGAGCTTGTGCTGGTGAGATTGATAATCAAGAATGCTGACTTCAGGCTGTTTGGGAGGACCAAATTGCTGACGTAGTAAGGAGTATCGCACTGCAATAGTGACAGCAATCTTGAGGAAACCAACTGAAGAAGATGCAAGGCCAACCCTCCCACCTACAAGTTCACCTAGCATAGCAGCAAAACGTTTGTTTATTGTAGGGAGACTACTTGTGTATTTTCCATCTCGAGAAACATCCCCAAATCGATTAAGAAGATTATCTCGGGGAATTCTAACTGAACAGAATCTCAGTGCTCCGTTATCCACCCCATTCAAGCCAATTTTGTGGCCACAATCATGTATTTCAATTCCTGGAAGTGTTTGGTGAGTTTTTAAATCCCTTATTGGCACAATGAAGCCATGGACTCCCATATCAGAATCTCCTTTAGAGTCATGAGTTGTTAAAATCAGCTTGGCAAAAACTGTTGCAAACTTGCCATGAACTGCAGCATTGCCAATCCACCATTTGATGGCCCCATCATTAGGTGTGTCAATTATAAATTCATCTGTAATTCGATCAAATGTTGCAATGGTTTGGAGACCCTGGACATTAGAGCCTTTTAAGCACAAAATTCACTGTTTAGTTTGGTATGCATGCTTAGCAGATTATGAACAACAAAAGATAATATTTAGAGAAAAGAAATGGGTACTCTTTTCAACATTATAATGATACACTAACATGAAAAGCACAGTAACCACAAAAAACTTGATTGACATCATCAAAATAATATTTCTTCCGCGTAAATTGTGTTCTTCAACCCCCTTTCTGCATCTAACATAATTTTCTCAATAAAACATTTACAGATTTAATTCACATCTCCGAATAACGGCACTCTGTTGCATGCCATGATGAGTTGTAATGCAGAACAGCAGAAGGAAGATGTCGAAGGCAGCACAAGAATATACATGTAAGAAAGACAAGAGAAGAAAACGTAAATACACAATGAAAACAGAGTTCACCATGATGTAGTTCTGTCATAGCGAAACAACCTAGATAATCCAAATTGTCAATACCATCAAAATACTTATCCCGGTGCTTTTTAGTTCCTAAGTTCAGCACAGAACCTCCCCAAAGACTGCATAATAAAGCATTCAAAGTCAACTTAGGATTAAAATGATAATAATAATAATAACAATAATAGTAGTTCACCGAGAATCAGCTCAAATGCAGTATCCAAATGGTCCACATTTACAATAAAATTTTACCCAATTCAAACCAAAACAAACCCATCTCACAAACTCAATCTCCAAGCATTTATATCCGAAACCCAGATGCCAAAACTTAAAATTTAACCAAAAAACCAACAAACTTTCTTAAACTTAAATACCCAAATTCCAAAAACCACCCAAGATTAAAACTTTAATGCCAAAAGAGCCAAAAAATAATAATAATAAAAGCAACAATTATTACCTACAATGGACGCCAAGTTTTATCCCAAGAGATATATCAATATTCCCAACAGCCTCAGCAATCGCAAAATACTTAGCAGGATCTTCAACAATATATCTAAAAGGCTTAATCTTTGCTTCTCTAACCAACGCCATAAGTTGTCTCATACAAAGCTCCCTATGTTCATTCATTGAAATCTCAATTGGGGTTTGCAAATAAGGCCTTGATTTAAAAAATTCAAGAACTTTCTCTTGACTTTCCCTATACTTCCCTCTCATGTAGCTTGAGAGAGAGCCTTTGTCAAACTCCAGCTTATTGGCCTTGGCGCATGTTAGCATGTTGAGCTGAGGTGAAGGTTGGAAGAGTGGAAGTGGGGTAAGGTGAATGGACAGCCGTTGGATACGGCGGGTCATGGCCGTGATGGATGGCTGTGATTCATCCTCCACCGTCTGATTTGGGTTCATTTTTTCTTCAAAAAAAAATGGGGCGGGAATGGGTGGTTTTCTGTCTTCTTGCAGGGGAAGGGAAGGCGAAGGACAATGTTATGATGACATGGCGTTTTGTCGGCTTAGTACGTGGCGGTTTGGGGATGGGACGAAGGAAAGCAGTTAACTTGTCTCGCTTCCAATGTGGGGACTGGATAAAGTGATGAGGTGATGAGATTGACCTTCGAACAGTTGCAATGAAGAAAGTCAAAAAAATAAAAAATTATGAAATTAAGGCGTGAAGATAGGAAACGCTATCTCTGCCAACTTGGTTTAAGGTTTTCCTAATCTCATGCATGTGAAAATGTCTTTACGTATACTTTATGTATAGGTAAAAAATTACAATGACATAAAATTTTTTTCAAGCAATATCCATATTAGTCAGATCATACAACAAAAACTTGATAATCTCTTGTTTTTTTTTCCAATAAAACTTGATAATCTCCTAAACATAATAAAAAAACGTCTTTAATAATTTATCTTTTTTATCTATATCTTATGATGTCACATTCAATTCTAATAAAATAAATATGTGCATTTTCAGTAAGTTATTTTCTTTTTAAATGACTAAAAATAATACCAGAGAATTACAGCACATACTCTAGATTTACTTAAAATAACTACATAAAAAATAAATTATATCCCATCTAAAATTAATAAGTAATAAATAAGGAGACATTTATTATATTTAAGTTTCCAATTTTTTTTAGTTTACTAAATTTGAGATTTTTTTTTTTCGTCTTAATAGAATAAATTTGAGTTATGAGATCATATTAAGTTAGACGTTGAATTAGACAATCAATTATTTTAAAAATGTATTTGGTACGAGGTAATTTATTTAAAAATTACAGTAATTTGTACTCAATAATTATATTATTTTATTTGATAGTAATTTAAAAATTTTAGGTAGCAGTAATCATAAATCACTTGAATAATAAAATTATTATCTTTAAGAGTGATTTGATTCTCAACTTAAAAATCGAAAAATGTTTATTATCGTTGGGAAGTAATTTTGAATATTATTTTTTCACCAAATTACCTTAACAAAAAAAGGTAGTCAATATTATTCTAAGAAGCTATTTATTAAAAAGTTTCAAAAACTGATTTTTTAATAAATTATTTTAAAAAGGCTTTATATTATAATTGAATAAATTTTTATTGACTAGAAAAAAATAAATTTATTTAATAATTTTTTTACAAATTATTTTATCAAAATGAATTTATAATTTATAATTTTCTATAAAATAATGTTTAATTATTTTATAAATTATTGATTCAATAAGTATTAAATATTTTATTTTAAAGATTATTTTAAATATTTTATATTATGAAAATTTTATATAATACTAAATTTCGCGTTTTAAAATCACTAATAATTTATAATATTATATCAAATATAATAATTTAAAATCATTGATGATCAAAATTATCTTAATGATCTTATTATCATGCTAATTAAATCATTATGATAATTTTAAAAGTATACTTAACGTGACTTAAAAAAGTAATCATAATATAAGGCCATTGTTTCGCATATCTTTGTGATACTTGGAAAGTAAGTTGTGATTTTGGTATTTAATTGCTTCCATTACTTGATCCAAGTGGTTTTGTAAAAATTGTTGATATGGTTTCGAGTGTGACTTCGATTAAAATACATTAAGAAGTCATTGACAAATTGATTCTACCTCAAGCAGGGACTGTACACCTTAATATTTACAACCAAATAAAAAATAAGTTTTCCTTATTTTATTACAAAATATAAAACTTTTATTTCATTGTAATTATATTTATTAAATTTAAAATATTAATGAATAAAATTTGATTGTTAGAATTAATAAAATAGCATTCTCTCAAGCATTTATTATTTAGTGAAATTCATATAATAATTTTTTTTTTTGTAAATTACATCAATTAAGAAGAAATTTTTAACTAAATATGAAATATTGTAGAACAAATTCTAATTACAGTAAAATTAGAATCCATAACTTCAATTCTATGAACTAAAAGATCGAAAACTTATTTTATTTTTTTAGTAAAATTTGAAGACAATTTGGGTATTATTTCAAAATCTTTTGTATTAATAGTCTTTGTTCCCATACATTGAAAAGATAAGTACATTTAATAGCAATGATGGAAAAAAAATTTTAAAGGGCACTGTTAAATACATCTCATTTTTTTTCTTTACACTCACTATTTTTTAAAATTATTTTTTACTAAAATTATTTAATTATTTTTTCATTTTAATTTTAAAGTTTTTGAATATTCATGTTAAATAATTTTTAATTATGCATATTTGATAAGTTTTATTACTTATCAGATATAATAATTCGATAAATTATATAAATTACCATATTTTCATATCCAAGAATTTAGAAAAAAAAATCAAATTAAAGGAAAAAGCTTACAAGGTTATATACAAATTAATAGACGAAACTATGCACGTTGATTTTTAGTTTTTTTTTTATTTAAATGATCTAAAACAAAATTTTTAAAAATTTTCAAATATTTAAATTTAGAAATTTTGAAAATTTTTTGAAGTTACAAATTCAAAAACTCATTTAAATAATTTCATTTAAAAATAATTTTAAAAAGTAAAAAAAAATTGCAAATAGAAGCCCTATATTTTTTTCATAAAGAATAGATTTTTTATTAAAAAGGCGAAAAATTAAAATACATATATTTACTAAACATACTTTCAATATCAAATTTCAAAAGGATTTAAAATCCAACCATAAATTTCAAGATTCCACGGAGTGGGCCACAGCCCGCGCACTTTCTCTTCATAAAAATAAAACCCGAACTGCAATTCAAAACCGCGGGTCAGGCTCCGAATTCCCACGGTTCCCGCCCTCACCAAAACGAACACATTTTTTTTTTTCCTTTAAAAACCTCCCCTTTTTGTTTTCTTTCATTTTACTTTCAATTTTCGGTTCTCAACAGGTGAGTACTCAGCAGCATCTCTGAAACCACATTTTGTTTTAAAATTTTTCATTTCTTTCTGAAGGACCCTTATTTTTTTTTATTTTCTTCTGTTTTTAACAGTTTTAAGCTGAATTGGGGATTTTTTTTTTTTAAATATATATTTCACAATGAGCGGAGATAACTTTACCAACGGGACACCCAAAGTCCGTCCTATTTTAGGTGACATAACAAATCGATTAGTTAAAAGGGGGTTTTCTTCGATTTCGGACAATTTAGGGTTTAATTCTAAAGAAGAAGCAGATTCCCAATTCACAAAACGAGTTTGTTTAGGTGTCGGAAATTTGGTCGAAGAGAAATCTAAAAAACTCCAATTTGAACCAAACCCTAATATTTTGCTTACTTGTAGAGGCGAAAGTGATCCTTTAAAAGAGAATTTGGTGTCCGTTAATGACAAAGATAGTGAGGTTAAAGAAGGGTTTGATTTGTCTGATAGTGATGATACATTAGATCAAGGAGAAGGTGTTACGGAAGTAGGGGATACATTGAATGATAGTTGTAGGAATGAGGGTAAGGATCTTGGCGTTGGTAGACTGGCGTCGAGTAAAGGTAGGTGTATTGAGTGGTCGAGGTTGCCTAAGTCGTCGTCGCAGAGTTCTAGGTCATTTGAGTTGGAGAGGTGTGAGGGACTCAAGCATGGTGGTTGCATGAATTTGAATGCCGGTATTGATATGATCAAAGCTTGCTCTTGTTCTTTTTGCTTGAAAGGTAACTACTTTAGCTTCTTTCTTTGGATTTATTGCTTTGCTATGTTTGTGGGTACAAATGGTTTATCTTGTAATGTGTTATCTAATGGGCTATGCTTGTTTTACCCAATCAGCTGCTTACATTTGGTCGGACCTTCATTATCAGGATGTCAAGGGTCGAATAGCTGGTAAGTCGAATAGCTGGCTTTTGCTCTAGTTTCCCTAGGTTTATTTTGGTTGTAATCGTGACATAACTTGTTCCTTTCTGTACTAACGTTTTCCACATTTTCTCAGTTTTGAAAAAAAGTCAGAGAGAAGCAAGCATTTTAGTTCAGAAAAGTGGCAGGGGGAAACAGACTGACATTCATAGCCAGGAAAATGCCAATAAATCTTCAAAATTAGAATCTGACCTCACGAGTCAGTGGAGATCTCTCTTTCTTAACATGGAGGATATATTTGTTCATGAAAGCAACCAGCTTGTAAGTTTTATTTATTCTTCTTTAGTCTAGATTTTTATTTTCAATGCCTATGTACCTGTTGTTTAGTTGTTAAATGACTTCTTATTCTACAGATTTTACCTTTTTTTTTCTTGTTAAAAATATTGCTTGTATGATCTAAAGAACTTAGTTTGTGATAAGAAGCCTGATTCATATTGATTAATACAAGGCTTTGGTTAAAAAACCACATTGGACTTTTTGTATTTTGATCCTTGATTTATTGGCTTTTGGACACTTTCTAAGTCTTTATCTCTAATCAGTGCTTCAGGGCTAGAGTTCATTGCTACTTATTATTAGGCTAAATTCCTAAGATTGCTGACTTTCGTTATCTTGAATAGGATTTTTCATGTATAATCTCATATAATTGAACTTATTTGGCAGCAAGCCAGTTACATTGCACTAAAAGATTTGAGGGAAAATTGCAAGATGGATCTGGAGCGGATAACAGGGATTCCTTCAGAGAAATAAAAGTGTGCTTGTGATGCTTCTTCTGATTGTAAGATCATCTTGGTTCTCCAAATTCAAGAAATTTGTATTTGTATGTCTGCATGTCTGTTCCTATAACAGATTCTAGGTTCTTGTTTGGTAAACTCTAATGTGTTTAGAATTGTCAGAAATTGTAAACTTTATAATCTCAGTTTGTAATGTTTGTTGTTTTGTAGTATGTGCTTAACAATATTTTAACTTCCCATCTTATAAACTTGTTCGATTGTACCTTCTACTTAGTCCTGTCATTCTGTGTGGTTAGTGGTGAGTATATCCAATTTGCTTGAAACCAATCTAATCCATCTAATTTACTACAATAATCAATTGTAATGAAGTCAAACCTGAACTTGAAGTGAACTAAACCAAACTTGATCCTGAATCAAGCTGAATTATTATCTGTTTTCTAAGTAAAATGTGATGAAATCCAATCTAAACATAAAAGATCTTCCAACTTGCTTGAAACCTAGCTTGGATATTTTAAAAGGCAATAGCTTGAGGTAAAAACAAATTGAAATTTAAAATGATTGAAAAGTTTAAAATCCAACACGGCCTACACCAACTTGAACTAATCCACCTAATTATCACCCTTCATGTGGTAGAGCCTATGACTGGTTTGGGTGGATTTCTTAGCTACTGTACACCATTAATATCGTTACTATCTCCGTGGACAAAGTTTCCAGTTTAGGGAATAACAACATTGCATTTTACGTGCTCATCTTTGTTGATTATGCATTATAATACGCTACTGTGGATTAGTTAAGTGAGCATAGAGTGTTGGAGGGACTAGTCATTCATAATGAAGAGGGTTGCACATTTTTAGTGGCAAAGAAGCAACAAAGTTTTGATTCATTGAAGGGAAAATAAATTAGCAAATGAGTAGCTGAAACTGATTGTTTTGCTTGTTTGCTTCCCTCCTTATTGTCAACAAGTGTAATGCACCATATTGGAAATAGGCCTCTTGGCATACTTTTGATGTAGGCTGGAATGCATTGGCTGGGCTGCATAAGAACCTAGTAGAATAGCTTACAGTGTTTTGGATAAGTAAATGTACATCTTTATGGGTGGAAAGATGTTGTATAATAGAAAAACTTGCAGACAGAATAAAGCACAGGAAATGTTATTGAGACCACTTAAAAAAAAAATGTAATTTTGCAAAGCATTCCATATTTAATACACTAGTAGGGGTTGCTAAAAATTTACTAGTAATAGGAGTGGAACAGGGAACTTTGTTGCATATTAGTATTGAATTATTGATTGTGTGGCTAACTGTGCTAGTAAGGTATGAATTGAATTGTTTACTTTCTTAGCTTTGTAAATTGTAAGAATGACATAAGGAGTGAAGCCAGAATTTTATGGTAGAAGTAACTTTTTTGGCATCCCAAGGTTAAAAGTAAGGGAGTTGATTTTAAAAGATTATGCAACCAAAAATTGTCCCAACTAAATCCTTGAATGCAATATTTGAGTTGGTTGCTTATTAATTTATGATTACCAAGTTGAAGAGTTCAGCCATTTGTTTCATTTCTTAGTAAATCATTCAATGAGATGAATATTGATTTGGTATGGCACTTGATTATTAAGCAGTACTTGATTATTAAGCAGTTAAATGTAATGAACTTTTCTTTCATGTTACTGGTCCAGAATGATTCCTTTTCTCTGCGTTGTTACATGGAGCACCATTTTAATAACTTGAATTTTTTTTTTATCCTTTTGCCAACCACTAAACTCAATATTTGGTGTCCTTTTTAGTAAATTGGAAAATGTAATTTATCTTGTCATTAGATATCCACCCAGCTTCTTCATGATTTTTATCAGTGTCTAAAATGTTTAGCCAGGTTGGATCCTCAGTAGCCTTGCAGTTCTGTCCTAGTGGTTCATTCCTAGCAATACTAGGTGTAAAAGAGGGTATCAGTTTCAGTTATATGTCAAATTTGACCTTTGAAGCCCAGTAGAGCCTTCTAAGTCTAGATTGCAGGTTGGATTCTATGTTCAGTTTTAGTCCTTTTTTTATTTTATTTTTTTTCTGTAGCACATGGTGCTCAATTGTGCTGGTTTTACTTTGCTAGAATCTAGAGGGTGGTCCAGAAGGACCTGTAAGCAGATGGAGACTTCCATTTCCATTTCTTGTTTCGGGTCCCCTAGTGTTGTTTGGAACATTCCTGCCCCTTAAGGAGAAGATGATGTTGACGTCACATGCCACAGAATTGGGATTGGATATATCATTGATTGTGAAGGATGGAGCTTTGTTCACTCAAATATCTGACTCCCGATAGGTACTCTTTTCAAGTCCTTGGTCACCATGCAATGCATTCTAGGGTTGAAATTTTTTCGTTTTTACGGTGAGTCTCACCTCCATGAATTAATGCAGTGTTGTTCTTGAGATGGTTAGCCATATTATTATTATTTAAAAATTTTAATTTACCTTTAATCCCAAACTTCTATCTACTTAATTTAGGAGAAGAATTTCTCAAATTATGCATTATTAAGTAGCAAAACGTTCTGTTTTTTTAGGGGAATTGAACATTACCACAGGATGGATTTGTAAATTGTGGTCCGAGGAATTTGTGTGATGATCAAACTTTTTCTTAAAACTATTTTTATACAATATAATAAGTATAATCCTTTTTGTTTTCCTTTTTTAACTCCATTTTAGTCTTAAAGAGGATTACTAGTTGCACTTGCATAGTTTGTTCAAAGGTAAAGTGCATATATGTCTTTGACTCAAAATTAGGTTTGAATAAAAATGGTTAATGTTATGAATAATTTTTGAATTACAATAATATATTTAATGTGATATTTAAATTTTACAAAATTTTGATATGTTGTATGAATTATAAATTTATTAATTAATTTGATATTCATTTTTTAACGTGAATAATTTCAAATGATGACACATAGTATATAAATAATTTTTTAAATATCATTTTAATTAAAAATTCATAATTATTATATTACATTAGATATTTTTAAAATTTAAATGTCATGTTAAATATTTTATTATAATTTAAAATCATTTTAAAGATTATTCCAATAAAAAAGGGGAGAATCTACTTTTTAAGTCAAGTCATTTTCATCTAGAACTTTCTCATATCAAAATTTTGTTCATATCCAAAAGCAAATTAATTTGTTCTAATCCGTTCATTTACATGATGAAATACTTGAAAACTTTAATGTTAAGTTGGGTGTTTTATTATTATTAAATGAACAAATTCATTTAAAAAGAAAAGGGCATCACACCGTCATAAACATACAATGTAACGGTGTGAAACTCAGGGAAAAAAGTTTTATTTATAAATGTTGAAATGTCACATTGCATTTCTAGGATTAATAAATTCAAATATCCTTAAATATAAGGGTGCATTATTTTTTTAGTTAGGATACTATCAGTATTTTTTAAGGTTTCTTAATCTTATTTTAGGGTTCATCTATGTTTATTTAAGTTTATTTATATTCGTTTAGGGTTTGTTTGTTTAAATTTATTTGGTTATGATTTGTGTATTGTTCATGAACATGTTCATATTGTTTATGAACATGTTTATTTATATATATTTATGAATATATTCATTTAATATTTATAAATGAATTCGTTTAATTTAATCGAATCAAACCAAACATGTACATCTTACCATTTAAACTAATTGAGCTCGGACGAACATAGCAATTTTCTTACAAAATATACATCAATCTCGAACACTTTTAAAAATAAATGAACAAATCACAAATAAATGATTGCTCATTTATGTTTAGTTCATTTATAACCCTACATCTATGATATAGTGATTTATCATTACTTGCCTTTTATTGAAATAACCTTTTAAATGTTATCATATGATTGTTATGGGAAAAAAAACCAATGTTGTAAAAAATTTGATGTTTTTGGTTTGTAATTGTTTAAACATGAACTATAAATTTGGATTCAACTCCTATTAAATTTTACTTCTTTTTCATACACACACACACACACATATATATATATATATTATATAAAGTATGAACATCTTACACCAGTGTAAAATTTTTTAGTTTTACATTTTTTTTAACTATTGATTCAAGAGATCTAAAAGATGAGAAAGATAAGTGAAAAAATGATTTAATCTCTATAAACACCTAATTTTATCTGGACCAATTCGATTTTTATCCATTTTTATGCTTAATTCTAACATTTCGATTTTGACTTATCCAAGCACTTTAATTGGACTTATCTAGCTAGGTTTGAATAAGTTTTGTTTAAGATCAATTTTGTGAAGGTCATTTTGCATGGATTGACCTAGTCTAATGTAATTCTAAGTTGGATCACGTGAGTTTAAAAGCTTAAAATCTAATGTTGAAGGCCTAAAATTTATTTTAAAGCCCAATTTCATTTTTACTAGAATTGATTAAATGAACAAGAAAAAAGAGAATTTACACAAAAAAGAGAGGGTCGACTACCATGGTAACCTTTTTTTCCCAAATGCTAGGTTTTCCCCCAAACTTGCAAGCCTACTTCCAGCTCGTTGATTTTCCCTTCCTAATTTGACCTTTGACTCTTAGCACCAATCGATTGTAGACCCAATATCCTCGAATCAACAAGCATTAACTATACACAAATAAAGAAGAAAAAGAAATATAATTTTTAAGTAAAAGGTAAGAGATGTCCCTTTATATGTCCTATTTTAGGGAGGGCATGGCTTTAACTTAGGTTTAGTTTCTTAAGGTTTATTTATATGTTAGGTTTAAAGGCCTTGGCAATCTAAAAGTTTTCAAATTGTTCATCAAATCATCATCCATTATAGACTAGTAAGGCACCTTAATTTTTACGTATTATAGGTTTAAATAGAAATAGTTCAATTTGAGTGAGAGTTTTCATTAGCTCACACAAAGGTTATCACCTAAGAGTGTAGGTACTTGCTCCTTTTCTATAAAAAAAAAAAGATTGGGTTTAAAGCTTATGCATGAATGTATGTGTAACGTGTGTGAAGTAACATACTTACCTTTTTTATTCACAAATTCAACATCTGAAATCAAAACAAATAAATAGAGTAGTACACATGAAAAATTAAAAACTACAAAATAAATAAAAGGTTAGTGCACATAAAAAATCATATAATAAAAACCATTAAAACAAGGCTTAAGATAACATATAACAAACTAATAGCTTGACTCTCTAATATGTCCTTAATAGAGTTACCAAACTGTCATAATGTTCAAGTCTGAGAACCTATTCATTAGATATAAAAAAAATATGAAGTTGATACTAATCTTTTTATCTAATTATGATTGATCACCTATGTTAATCTATCATTTTTAAGGTTATCTTAAGCGTGATTAAAGGTCTTTAAAAAGAATAAGTTCTTGTCTATACCAACAAAACTAGGTTTAAGAATTGATTACGTGTAGGAAAATTTTTAGCACTCCACAATGCCCAAAATTAGTAGTAAATTAGTCTTATGTTATCTTATCTAAGCCATAATTAAAATTGTATTTATTACTTATGTTTATTAAATCCAATATTTAAATATTAAAAAAAATATTTAGGATTTCACCAAAAAAATTTTCTCACCTAAAAAATATTCAAGATAAATTTGTTATTTATTTAAAAAGACTTTGTCATCAGGTTTATTAAAAAAAACACAAATAAATCTGTTTCAAACATCATAATGTACAAATAATAATCAATGAAAATAATTATACAAAATATATTTACAATTAATGTTCTACAAATCAAAATTTTTTAACATTTTTTAACAAATAAAATAAAATTAAGATTAAAAAAAATACCAAATGAATAAAAATCGAATAAAAGAAATAAGAAAATATCCTTACAAGAGGGTCAGGGTAAAGCATGCATTTTTTTGTTAGATAAAAGGTTACCCAGATAATAAATTTTCCCTTTTTCCAAACAATGTCATTTTATCTTTGATTTAAAAATCAAAATTCATTCTTTTTCCCTTATTTCCTATTGCTACTTTCTTTTTACAAAATCTAAATTCTTTCTCTTCTCTTTAGAATTGAAAAACACCAAAAAAAAAAAAAAACCATTTCCAATGAAGCCTACTACAGTTTCCTCCAATCATTGCCATATAACAGTGCCAGAAAACCCTTAATCGAAAAACCCTTAACTAGTTTCTATTCATTACATAATCCTCTTTCTTGTCTTAACTTCCAAAAAAAAAAAAAGAGACCCATGGCATCTCTTCCTCAAAACACCATTATTTTCAACCATGTAATTGTGCTTGCTTGCTATGATTTTGTTTCAATTTTTCTATTTATCTATTTTTCTTTTCCTATTCTGGCTTTAGTGTCTCTGTTAATCTAGCATCTGTGTTTCTCTATTTGGCTTTGGTCAATTGTGACTGATGGATCTATTATAGGTTGTTTGGGTTTAGTTGTCTATGTTTTGCCTCAACGAATTGCTAATGAAAATTAGGCTTGTTTGATTTACGAAACTTTTTTCCTATTTGATTGTTGATTGAGGCTTTCAATTCTTTGAATTCTGTAACTATCTTCTCTTGTTGAATGCCTTTGCTTTATTAGATCCTCTATTATTATGTTTCGACTAGGATTGTGCCATTGTTTTCAACTACT